CCTAATCCCCTCCGTGTCCCCCGCAGGAGCTGGAGGCGATGAGCAGATACACCAGCCCGGTGAACCCGGCCGTATTCCCGCACCTCACCGTGGTGCTGCTGGCCATCGGCATGTTCTTCACTGCCTGGTTCTTCGTGTATCCCCCCCCGGAGGCCAGGCGCGGGCGGGCGGGGCGTCCCCCTTAACCCTTCTCTGCCTCCTGATCCCGGGTTATCTCCCCCATCCCGGGCTCCCCTGCCCTTGCTTAAGATTATTACCTTAACCTCGGTCGTGCAGCTACGAGGTGACATCCACCAAGTACACGCGGGACATCTACAAGGAGCTGCTGATCTCGTTGGTGGCCTCGCTCTTCATGGGCTTCGGAGTCCTGTTCCTGCTGCTCTGGGTCGGGATCTATGTGTGAACCCTCCGGACGTGGGATCCTGGGAAGCTCTTTTTATATTTCTTTTGTATTTCAGCAAAAAAAAAACCAAAAAACAAACCCAACAATCCCTCCTGTACCAGGTGTGGCGTGTGACACCTGAATAAAACTGACTCTGTGACACACCTGCCTCAGGACTCCTGGTTTGTCTTTTAGGTTTCTGTTTACCTGGATTTTCCAAGCCACTTGAATGGAGTAATGGGATTGTTTAGGAAAAGCCCTTTAGGATCATGGAGTCCAACCATTCTCCCATCCCTGCCACCACTAGCCCCTGTCCCCAAGTACCACATCCACAGGGATTTTAAATCCCTCCAGGGATGGTCACTCCACCCCTGGAGCCTGTTCCAATACTTGACAACCCCTTCTGTGTAGGAATTTCTCCCTCATATCCAACTTACAGCTCCCCTGGTGAAGCTTGAGGCTGTTTCCTCTCATCCTGTCACTTATTCCGTGGGAGAAGAGGCTGATCTCACCTGGCTCCAACCTCCTGTCAGGGATCTGTGGAAAGCCAGAAGGTCCTAACTTGATCCTCCTTTTCTCCCTGCTGGCACAAGGTCCACGTGCCTTGGCATATGCCTGGTGTTATCCCAGATTTCCATGCTGTTTGTGGCCAGAAGAGTTCCAGTGTCACCTTGTGTCCTGGTACAGCCAGTCTATGGGAAATAAATCCTAAAGCTGGTCTTAATCCCTTAGTCTTCCTTGCCATTGCATCCCCTCGCCCTTTTTTGGGAATGCTGTGCATTCTCTCATCCTAAACCAGGAGTTTCATGGCTCGGCAGTGAGAGCAAAGAGCTGGATGTGCCCTTTATTAATTCCTGCTCTATAAACAGGGAGTTGATTTATGGATTTTTAAGGGCAGATTGGAATTTTAGCCCA